GCTCAGTTATACTAGTTTTGCTGGTGAGTATATGTGCTGCTTGTTTATCCATTCTTGGGATACTTCACTTAGTAGTGTGGGTTCCAGCTCTAACCAGGAAATATAAGATGTGCTATATCACTGTTGTTTCTTAGAGCTGAATAGTACTCCATGGTTTACATATACCACATTTTATTAATCCATTCTTGGATTGATGGGCACTTGGGCTGTTTCATAGCCTTGCATTATGAATTGTGCTGCTATAAACATTCGAGTGCAGGTGTCTTTTTGTAGAGTGTCATTGGATCTTTTGGGTAGATGCCAGCATGGGATTGCTGGATCAATGGTAGATTCACTTGTATCACTTTAAGGTATCCCATATTGCTCTCCACAGAGGTTGAACTAGTTTGCAGTCCACCAGCAGTGTGAGTGTTCCTCTCTCTCTGCATCCACGCCAGCATTTATTGTTTGGAGACTTTTTGATAAAGGCCATTCTCACTGGGGTTAAGTGATATCTCATTGTGGTTTTGATTTGCATTTCCCTGATGATTAGAGATGTTGAGCATTTTTCATACCTTAGGTTTAAGTCTGTTATCCAGCGTGAGTTGATTTTTGTGAGAGGTGAAAGGTTGGGTCCTGCTTTAGCCTCTACAAGTGGCTATCCAGTTTTGCCAGAACCATTTATTGAAAGGGATTCTTTTCCCAGCGTATGTTTTTTGTCTGCTTTGTCAAAGATTAAGATGGCTATATGAGGATGGTTTTATATCAGGATCTCAGATCTGTTCCACTGGTCAATATTCCTATTTTGGTCAATACCAGATTGATTTAATTACTACAGCTTTGTAGTATAGTTTGATATCTGGCATATTAATGCCTCCATTTTGTTTTGTTGCCTAAGATTGCTTTTGATATTCGGGTCTTCTTTGGTTCCATACGAAGCGTAAAATTGTTTTTCTATATCTGTGAAGAATGCTGATGGGATTTAATAGGTATGCATTGAATCTGTACATCAGTTTGGGTAGTATAGACATTTAATGATGTTGAGTCTGTTGATCCATGAGCATGGGTATGGATTCCATCTGTTACATCCTCTGCTATTTCCTTCCTCAGTGTTTCATAGTTCTCCCTGTAGAGGTCTTTTACCCTCTTGATTAAGTATATCCTAGGTACACAATCAATTTGTGCTATACAAGGGAATTGAGTCTTTGATTGGTTCTCAATTTGATTTTTGTTGACATATATGAATGCCTCTGATTTCTGTGTATTGATTTTGTATCCTGAGACTTTACTAAATTCATTGATCAGTTCCAGGAGTTTCTTGGTTGAATCTTTGGGGTTTTCTAAATATAATATCATATCATCAGCAAACAGTGAAAGTTTGATGTCTTCTGCCCCTATTAGCATACGTTTAATTCCACTTTCCTGTCTGATTGCTGTAGCCAGGACTTCTAGCACTATGGTTGAATAGAAGCTGCCAGAGGCACTTCCACGTTGCTAGCAGCTGCTGCTTTTCCTGGCTGCTCTCAGTGAAGGTCCTTCGATTTGCTTCGACTCTCTTTCACGTAGATCCGTGGCTATGTCTGTCATATAGGCTCTGTCAGTCTTTGGTATCCTTCCCTATCTCAGTGTTCTATCAAGAGTTGTCTTGCTCAAAAGCTTTTTCTGCATCTATCTTAAGAATCATGTGGTCTTTGTCTTGGCTTCTGTTATGTGGGAATGCATTTATAGACTTTACATAGTTGAGCCATCCTGCACCTGGGGATAAGCCCACTGGTCGTAGCGCATATTCTGTTTATAGCGTCTGGATTCAGTTAGCTCACTTTTCGCTCGCAAGGGAGAGGAGTTCCGGTCCCAATTCACCCACAGGGAGCCCAAGCTGGATTTATGTCTCTCAGCCTCTGCGTCGTCACCATTCTCCTGGGAACACCGTGCCAGCAGCACCTGGGAGGGCTGGTGGGTAGGGAGCTCACAGCCTGAATTCCTCTTAGTCAGCTGTAGGGTCCCAAAAGTGAAGGTCCCGTTCCCTGGAGGTGCCTTGGCTGGTGGCTATATTGTCTCGCTGGGCAGCTGCGGGTAGGGTTGGCGGAGGGGAGGAGGAGGCAATATGGCACCTGCCTCGCGGCTCGTGTCTGTGCACAGGGAGGTGCCGGGAGGGAGTTGGGAGCCTGGTGCCGCGTCCGCTACAGGCTCACCGCTAGCTGGCGGCGTCTGTCTCTGGGCTGGTGTCCGTAGGTCTCTCCACCCGCTGGGGAGCCCACCAGCCGTCCCAGATGCAGGGGAGGGGGGAAGGAAAACTCACCTACCCTTGCCGCTGGTCTCCGGGCTGCTCCGGTGGTCTCAGCTTCCAGGCAGCCTCCTCGGCAGCCTCCTCCCGTGGAGTCTCCTGGGGTCTCAGGTACCCTTCCTTCCGGCCCTCGTCCGCTGTATGCTCGTCTTCTGGCTTCTTTTGTCTAATTTCTGCCAGAATCTGTTTTTTCTGCAGAGACATTGTGTCTGGCGGTGTTTCTCGTCCCCCATCTTGATCCACCCTCCAGTATTTCATTTTGATGGTGCTAATGTAGAGGTATTGTGTTTCTAATTTCAAATTCTACTTGGTAGTTGTTTTGTTTTCATCATTTCATTGATGATAGCATGTTCCTTATCTGTGTTCTCTTGTTGCTGTTAAGAAACTATTAGTCTAATTGTTGCTCTTTTGAAGGCAGTCTGTCTTTATTTCTCTCGCTCCTTTTAAAAATTTGCCTTTTGTTTTCTGCAGTGTTAATTTGATTGTGAGTGTGGATTTCTTTTTATACACCTTGGAATTTGTTAGGGTATTTTAATCTCTGCATGATGTCTTGCATGATGTCTTTTATTGGTTCTGGTACAGTTTCAGCCACTGGCTCTGAAGGTATCATCTCTGCCGTATTCTCCTTATAGAATAATCTGTGTTGAATCTGCGTTGGACTATTAGAGTCTCTGTGTCTCTCACTCTTTTTTATATTCTTTTTGTCTTTCCATACTGCATACTGGATAGTTTCTTTTGGCCTATGCTATGGTTTGAATGTCTGTTCCAAAACTCATGTTGAAATTTAATTGCCCTTTTAATGGCATTAAGAGTTAGGACCTTTAAGAGATGGTTTAGGCCATGAGGGCTCTGCTCTCATGGATGGAATTAAGCCTTTATAAAAGGGTAAGTTTGGCTCCCTCTTGCTCTTTTTTGCCCTTTGGCAATGTAATGATGCAGTAAGAAGGCCCTTGCCAGATATAGGTCCTTCAACTTTCCAACCTCTAGAACTGTGAGCCAATAAATTTCTGTTGATTATAAGTTACCTGGGCTCAGGTATTCTGTTATGGCAGCACAAAACAGAATAAGACAGCCTACTTTAGTGTTTAGTAATTCTCTCTTTAGCTGTTTCTAATCTTCTGTTAAACATACCTGCCAACTTCTTAAGTTAGTATATTTTTTTATGCTCTGGATTTTTTTGTGTTCTCTTTTCAATCTGCTAGGTACTTTTGTATAGTTTCTAGTTCAAAAGTTTCAAACATGTCTTCTATATATTGGAACATAGTAAGCATATTCATTTTAAAGTCTTTATTGGATAATTCCAAAATGTGAAGTTGAAGAGGGTCTGTTTTTGTAGGGTTTTTTGGTTTTATTTTTGTTTTATTGTTTGGTGTTTGTTTCTTGCTCATAGTGTCTTTACTTCTTTTTGTATATGATTATCTTTGTGTGTTGGTCATTATATTTTAAAAATTTATTTGTATGGTTGATTTAAAACCCAGAGTATAGCATCTTCAGAAGTGATTTTAGGTTTTTTCTACTAAGCATCTGGAGGTGCTACCTATTTAGAATCATTATAATGTGAATTTAAGGCTTTCGGTTTTTTTGACTACCTAGGTATCATGAAGCTTGGTCCATACCACAGTTTGTATAATTCTTTGCTGGGGGAGTGGGAGGTGGGGGGAGTGGTAGCCACTTAAAGTTGTTGGTAGTTGAGGAGAGTAGCCAATAAAAAATTTATTTTTACTGCAGGTGTTTTGTGACAAAAGCAACTCTTGAGTACTGGGCTTACCTTTTTGGGTTCTTGTCTTCTTTAGATTTTGCTTCACTATTTTGTTGCCTCTTTGCACTCGTAAGATATTTTGTGTATTTCATTGATAATTTGTAATTTTTCATTACAGGGTTCATCTTTTTTATGTAGCCTGCCATTAATAGAGGCAGACATCTTTTCCTTTAACTTGCATTTAAATTTGCCTTGATGTTTGTTTGTTTGTTGTAGGTTCTACATGAAACATTTCCTCAACACACATTCCTTATGAATGGTCTCATTCAAGGTGTGAAGGTAAGAACAATTTTTATGTGATTCATAATAACCAAAGTCAGGAATTTTAACTCTGGAGGTTTAAGTGTGACTTAAGGAAACAATTACTGTTTGTTCTGGAGACTGAAATGTAAATTTTTAGCTGGGTTACCATAGTGAGAATAAACCACAGCACAATACATTAGACGGTTATAGAATGGTTTATTGGCAAAAGCAGTGTATAATACTTTATAGGCTCCCTTCAATTTTTATTAATGTGTACACATCAATTTATAAAGGATGTAGTTATTATGTGAACTTTTAACTGCTCTACCTATCAACAGGATAAGGCAATTGCCACTGTCTTCTTTTTAGATAGTCTTTGAGACTAAAGGAGAAAGATAGATGATGATTTAGTTGGATATTTAGTCTTTTGACTAGGCTCAATGCTCTAGCCATGACTTTGAGTTCTCAACCACTCGTTGAGTGCTCAACCAGCATTAAGTCATTATTTCAATTTTAATATGATATGTGTCAGAAAAGCTTTTAAATAGGCTGTTAAAATATAATGGTGTGTCCCAGTATTACTTTATAGTAAAGTATATGGGCAGAGGGTCTAAATTGTCTTTACCACTTTAGATAATGTCAATCTGTGCATAATTATACTTTGTATTGAACAACACACTTATTAATAAAATTATGCCCTAGTAATTTGCTGAATTCAGCCATAGTAATTTGTTGGATTCACGGCCTTGAGCAATATTAATTGAATTGTTGTGAATATTATTTATTCTTTGCCTACTTTCAAAAAGGATTTGAAGATGCTTATGTGTAAAACAAAGCAATTTAAATAAAGGTTGAAACTGAAGTTTTTGATACTCGTTGAGAAGAAGAGGAATATCTTCAAGAATGTGGTGTGAGGTTTTTTGAGTACCCATTTATTTATAGGCAGTGTAGATGAAAAGAAAAACTAAATTAATGAGAGAGAATACTGATAAAAACATACAATGTAAGTTTATCCTTATAGGAGATTCTAAGGCAAGTTACTCCACAAATCTTTTTTTTTTTTTGAGACAGAGTCTCACTCTGTTGCACCGGCTAGAGTGCCGTGGCATCAGCCTGGCTCACAGCATCCTCCAACTCCTGGGCTCAAGCAATCCTTCTGCCTCAGCCTCCCGAGTAGCTGAGACTACAGGCATGCGCCACCATGCCCGGCTAATTTTTTCTGTATATTTTTAGTTGGCCAGTTTATTTCTTTCTATTTTTAGTAGAAACGGGGTCTTGCTCTTGCTCAGGCTGTTTTCTAACTCCTGATCTTGAGCAATCCTCCCTCCTCGGCCTTCCAGAGTGCTAGGATTACAGGTGCGAGCCACCACGCCCGGCCAAAAAGACACATTCTTTACAGAGCAACAAAGAAAGTTGAGAGCATGTGATTCACTAAAAGCAACAGGTTTATAATCATAATAGGGAAATCGAGAGCAAGAAGACTGATTGTCAGTCTCACACAGCAAATTTGTTCTAGGTCCAAGTAAAATGACAAGTTAGATTAATTATCTGCTTTTTAAAAAGGTATTTTAACATTTAATGAATGTAATCACTTAAAGTCAATAGCAATATCTGAGAAACCCTATTAAACTGTTTAATATAGGATATATTCAATATAGATGGGGACCACATGGCTAGTTCTGTTCTTCTCTATCAGAATTATTTTAAAATGACATTTCAGATAATCTTGATTCATATCTTGGATGCCTCATGTTTCTGAATGATCATTTCCTCAAAGTTGCCCATAGTGAACAAACAGGAAGAAGCATTTATTTGAGTTGTCTTTTTTAACATGAACTATACTTTGTCTTTTTTTTTTTTTTTTTTTTGAGACAGAGTCTCACCGCGTTGCCTGGGCTAGAGTGCCATGGTGTCAGCCTAGCTCACAGCAACCTCAAACTCCTGGACTCAAGCAATCCTTCTGCCTCAGCCTCCCGAGTAGCTGGGACTACAGGCATGCACCACTATGTCCAGCTAATTTTTTCAATATATTTTTAGTTGGCCAATTAATTTCTGTCTATTTTTAGTAGAGACGGGGCTCTTGCTTTTTGCTCAGGCTGGTTTCGAACTCCTGACCTTGAGCAATCTGCCCGCCTTGGCCTCCCAGAGTGCTAGGATTACAGGTGTGAGCCATTGCGCCCAGCCTCCGCAAGTCTTTTGTATTGTGGAGAAGCTGAGAAAATTATTTTAGTGTGGTTCTATCAAATAAAATCAACTAAGTCTACACTCTAAAGATGAGTAAGTAGCATGCTATGCTTTTACCTATTGACATCGGCAATGTTATCCAGAAACAAGAAAGAAAAAGTATTTCAGTTTATTAAAGGGTTTGATTAAGGCCTTAACTGAACTTCAGTAATTATTAGACTTTAATTATTGACCTTCTGTAAGGACTCAAATACTTTATTAGTTGGTTACTGTTTCAGGAGTCGGGATATAAAGATAGAACTCTGTAGTAAAACATAAGATTAAGATGTAGTGTGCATATGAGCACAGTGGAATGAATATGGCCTCATATTGTGTTAGTTTTAAATCCCCTATGTGCACCTTATTAACTATATTACCTTATTCAAATAATTTAACCTCCCTGAACTTGAGTTTCATGATGAAATGGGAAAAAGATTAAAGTACTTTCTAATAGGGTGATTGTGAGCATTAAATGAAATAGGATATATAAAGCTATCAGCATAGTGCATTCATGTGGTAAATACTAAATGAATGTCACAAAGAAAAATATGTTAAAAATAAAACCAAACTATTAGAATGAAATATTGGTTAACATTTTTCTTACCAGTTTGAGAAAGATTTTTTTTTTTTTAAGAATAAGAATTCATAAAGGAACAAATTTGAGTCAGTTACACCAATACTTTAAATTTGGGTAAGTCAAAGTGACCATCATCAAAAGACAAATTAAAAAATATTATTTGTAATATCTGTAACAGAAGGGAGAATACTATTCTTGACATAAAAGTGCTATCAAAGTAAAACCACAAGAAAATGATATCTTAGAAGATCAAAGAAGGATGTAAACTGACACCTTATAAAATGTCAGTATAAAAATAAGTTTATCACTAGTAAGCCAAAGAAGCCAAAATTAAATGAGATAATATTTTTGCCTATCAAATTGGTTTAAAAAGTTCAAATTGGGCCACATGTGATGGTTCATGCCTGTAATCCTAGCACTTTGAGAGGCTGACATGGGAGGATCACTTGAGGTCAGGGGTTCAAGACCAGCCTGGGCAACACAGCAAGCCCTGTCTCTATGAAAAATAAGAAAAATTAGCTGGGCATGGTGGCATGCACCTGTTGTCCCATTTACTCAGCAGGCTAAGGCAGGAAAATCGCTTGAACCCAGGAGTTGAGTTATGATATAGTTTATTCACTGTGTGATAAGAAGGTCCCTATGCAGTGCTTATAAGAGAAGATAAATTAATATAGCTTTTTTTATAAGGCAGTATTTTAAGTTTTAAAAATATCCATATATTTTAATAAAATAATTACATTTCTAGAAAGTTGTTCTGATCAAATGGAGTTATTCAGAGATTCAGGTAAAAGACTATTTGTTACAGTTTCATTTTTAATGATAAACATGGAAGTAATTAAAATGTCTTAACATTAAAAGAATATCAATTCCATCAGAAACCCTCATCTCTACAGAAGGCCATGGAAACTAAACACCCTTCCGTTGAATGATTATTGTGTTATGGAAGAAATTAAGAAGGAAATCAAAAGATTCTTTGAACTAAATGATAAAGGAGACACAAGTTATCAAAATCTGTGTGACACATCTAAAGTAGTCCTGAGTGGAAAATTTATATCCATAAATGCCTACATCCAAAAGACAGAAAGACCCCAAATCAACAATCTAATGAATTGTCTCAAAGAACTGGAAAAGATGAGCAAAGCCACCCCAAACCCAGCAGAAGAAAAGAAATAACAAAGATCAAAGCAGAACTAAATGAAATCGATAACAAAAAAACTATATGTAAGATTAATAAAACAAAAAGTTGGTTCTTTGACAAAACAAAATTGACACACCTCTTGCTAGATTAATAAGAATCAGAAAAGGCTCTAATAAGCTCAATCAGGAATGAAAAAGGAGAAATTACAGTTGATACCACAGAAATACAAAATATCATCTATGAATACTATAAAAATCTCTATGTACATAAACTTGAAAATGTGGAGGAAATGGACAAATTCTTAGAAAAACACAGCCTCCCTAGGATCAATCAGGAAGAAATAGAATTCCTGAACAGACGAATATCTAGCATAGAAATTGAAGCAACAGTAAAAAACGTTCCTAAAAAGAAATGTCCCGGACCAGATCAATTCACACCTGAATTTTACCAGATCTATAAAAAACTGGTGCCTGTCTTGCAGAAATTATTCCATAACATCGAGAAGGAAGGAATTATCTCCAACACATTTTAGGAAGCCAACACCACCCTGATACCAAAACCAGGAAAGAATGCAACAAAGAAAGAAAACTACAGACCACTATGCCTTATGAATATAGATGCAAAAATTCTGAACAAAATCCTAGCAACCCAAATTCAGGTGCTTATCAAAAAAAATAATCCATCACGACCAATGGCCTTCCTCCCAGAGATGCAGGGATGGTTCAACATACTCAAATCTATAAATGTAATTCACCATGTAAATAGAAGAAACATTCAACAAAATTCAGCACCCTTTTATGATAAGAATGCTTAACAAAATAGGCATAGACAGGACTATATAAAACTGATAAAAGTCATATATGACAAACTCATACCCAACATCATACTAAATGGGGAAAAATTGAAAGCATTCCTGCTTAGAAGTGGAACCAGACAAGGTTGCCCTCTGTCACTGCTTCTATTCAACATGGTGCTGGAAGTCCTAGCCAGAGCAATAAGATAAGATAAGAGAAGGAAATCAAGAGCATCCAAACGGGGGCAGAAGAGGTCAAACTATTGCTCTTTGCTGATGATAATTTTCTTATATCTAGAAAACCC